ATGTAAATATATATGTAAATGTATGTTGAAATTATAAGCCATGCCAATGCCAATTGATGGTTAATCAAATTTAATTGAATTTGCAATAAATTCGTTTTATTACTTTTTAATGCAAATACATACATATGTATGTAAATATAAATTTGACTTCCAAAGTGATGAGCTGTTTGTTTGTTCATATGTATTATTCAATGAAATTCGTTTAAAATGTTTTGTTTTTTTGTTTTAGTTGTGCATATTAAACACATAGTACATACATACATATGTACATTCATACGCTGGCTGGCCATTCAGATGCTTCTCCGATTTTATGTAGCCACTCGGCACTTCATTTGTTCGTTGTTTACTTACTGTTGTTTTTTCCTGCATAATGACATTACTGCTTCGTTTCATCATTATTGCAAATGTAGTGGTTACCTGTGTCGGTTGTGAGCAGCATATTCGTAATGGCCTCAGCATAAGCCTACACGGCTCCTGTATGTACTACCCAACATCCAAGCAGACTTTCAGACTCCAAATTTTCTACCTACAAAAGCATACAATTTTACATTCTCGGCGGTAGCCACTCATTCTTTACTTCAGTTGTGCATACTCATACTCCCCACAGAATTTTTTCCTCGTATTTTATTCATTTCATGCATATCTGCGTATGTATGTGCTTAGCCACAGCCAGCTGCAGCACCACAAATCTGCAATATTTTCACCGCACTTTCATCATTTTCATTGCCTGGCGAATTTCCGGCTTCGCTTACAAAAATGTTAACATACAAACATACTTGCATATTTACAATTTGACCTAAAAATTTTGTTGGCTCTGTGTTTTCATGATAATAATAATAATAAGAATTTGGCACTTACACTTTTGCTAAGCGTTTGGCCGAGCTTCTCCTCCAATTTGTGGTGTGCCGGCTTGATGTTGTTACACAAAAGGAGAGACCTACGAACGGCAAATGGATTTCATGAGAAGCTGTTTTTCATGACAGAAATACCTGCCAGCCGAACGGCGACCGCTGTTAAGAAGAACCTTGTTTTTAACCGACTTCCAAAAAAGGAGGAGGTTATCAGTTCGTCGGAATATTTTTTTTTTTTGTTTTTTTATGTATGTTACCGCATAACTTTGGACCACGTCAACCGATTTCGATAATTCTGTTTGCATCGGAAAGGTAGTGTCTCAGAGGTGGTCCCATACTAATCTGGTTGAGATCCGATCAGTGGATCATATATATATATATTTTTATATGGGAGTTGAAGTCGGTTTTTTTTTGCTAAAAATTATTTGTTATAAGTTTTTTTTCGATGTTGCTTTGACCAGGGCACGATTCCACGTCCTTCGGAGTGGTAGAACGCACCTCTAATCACTCGTCTACAGCGGTCGACCAGTTTTCCGTCTGAGTTTTCATAGTATTACAAATATTTCATTTTTATTTTTGTAAATCCGACCAGAGGGGACTAGAAGGCAAATACTTTGTCCTTTTTGTTCTACATTTTGATGCAGAAAGTCACCTATTCAGGAACTGAGATGTGAATTCGCTTTGTTTTATTTTATTTTTTTAAATATAATTTAACCTCAATTGGACGCTAAATAAAAAATTTTCCTGATGCATTCCAATTTAATAATATTTTACAATCATGCTTAGCCTACTCTTTGCACATACGGTTGCCTGCTTTTATCGAACTTCTCTTAGTTGCGTTAATGTACTTACAGCCTAAGGAGGCTGTTTCCTTTTCCTTTCTCAACAATAATTTGATTGACACACGCAAAATGAACTTTTCTCCATTTCCACTTAGGATGTACATACACATACATACATACATACATATGTACATATATGCTTGTTTCAGAAGTTTACCGTGATATGCGCACGCCTCATCATTGAAGAGTGCGGAAAGACAGCTTAAAATTCCGAATAGCAGACTACGGAATTGCAAGAGTGTGGGCAACAGCTATGTATAAAAAAAACTGCTTGTAAGGGCAATTTTTGGTGTAATAATTGTATGGAAATATGTTTTTCGCGCCAAAATATAGTTAAAGCATTTTTCAGTAAGAGCGAGTCGAAATAATAAAAAAGCGGGTATCTGACGTATTAAATAATGGAATTTTTAATTGGAAGGCCCAGGTATGCCATTACGTATAGAAATAACAGCGTTGGAATGACCACAGTCGATTCGGATCCGAGTGGTCCAACCGCTTATTGACATTGGCCCAGACCACACTGCTATTGTCATACTGCATGAGACCGGTTTTTTAGGCAAGCGAGAGAAAAGAGTAAAAGAAATTCGAATGCAGCCGATACCCTGCCATAAGAGACATCACACTGACATTGTGGCTTGTGCCATAGACCTGCGACTTCAGAAGATCCAACAAGGAGGAGGAAGGTCTAGCGAGTCCAACTAGTGTTTTTCACCAAAATTCTGAGATAGGTCGTTTTTTGAACCGAATTCTGAAATATGGCGTTAGCAGACGATATGTAGTCGCCTATTTAGTTTAACTTTACCCCTGGGATATTTTTAGAAGTAATATTGTTTTAGCTGATTGCCTTTCTCGGTACTTTATTATCTGCGTAGCTGTTAGCGATTAAGTTGTTTCCTGTTCCTCGTAGCAGAGCTTCCGCTTACAACTTTCCACAATTAATTGGTTGACGAATCTCCAGTTCCACGCAGTACATCTCCGCTCCTATGCGAACTATAAATATGTTAAAAGTCCTCCGGCCGGGTTTTATATCTCTCTATGCGATGGCGGTTTGGAGCCTTTCTTCGCAGTTATTCGGCGTAGCATTGGCTCCCAACAAATGTAGCCATCAAGTATGCCGATCACAAACTCAAAAAGTTACTGCAGACCCTTCTGTTTATTGCGAGCAGTTGCTTCAATATACCATATTTAGGGCCAACTAAGTGTAGCCTACTTACAATCCCTCTTTACTGAGTAGTGGTTACGAATGCCGAAAGATGCACACTTACCGATTTTCTGTCGTCATATTGAGTAATGTATCTACCACAGTACTGGGTCAAAAGACATTAGTTCTACCGTATGAGTTTCTAACGGAAGATGCCGGGTGAGTAATTTTATAATCAAAAGTTTCAGTCAAGACGATTAATTATTAAACCGCACTGCCCAATATGATCCAGAACATACTAAGGGTAATCGAAGTAACTCCCACCCTTTCCCTATCCGGGAAAAAAGTATTCGCCGAGTAATTGCAGATATCGCACGACTATCGCTTGGCCATTAAACCTAGGATTCTGACTAAACGGTATTATACGGTCGAGTAATTATGCCCTATGCTCCGATCCGTTGTATGCGAAACGGCCTCACATTCCCGGGGGAAGTGTAATGCCGAGTCACAGGAGCGTCATAGGTCGAAGACCCGTAGCGCTACGCCAGTGTAGTTCCATTAGTTTTTTTTTTTGCTTTCTCAGCTCCTTTGTCATGTTGGGACCTACTAAAAGGAAGGGCTCAGGTCAACAATTCTGGCTAACTTATCGGCTTCCTCATTTCTTTCGACTTCCAGTACCCATAGCAATTCTCAACTAGGTCATTTGCTTCTTTCCACACCCCACGACCACTCAGAATTTGACCTCGAAGGATGAAAGAGCCTGACTATCACATAAAATTAGGATCCTCTCACTTCGATAATTCCTGCGAAGGTTGATCTCAGCACACAGATTGATGGCATAGACCTTCGCTTGGAAAGGTTTCCAGGGGCAACTAAACCTTCAGTCTGTGGCTATATACGGCTATGTTCACCTAGACATGTCTCTCCATAAAAGCGGTACTCCATGTCCCTGTTCCTAGATGATAAAACCCTACCTTTGCCTAAACAGTCTCTCGCGAAATTAAGGAGAGTTCGCTTTGCAACTTGTTCAACTGCAAGAAGCACTGGCTCGGTTCCCAGAATTACCTCTGCCGCACCGTTAACAGAGTAGTCCTGGAAACCCAAGCCGCTGCTTCATAGGTTACCATTGGTCGTACTATCATGGTGTACATCTATCTTAGGATCCTATGGGCTTCATCCCCAAGATTTGCCCGTTACCAGTTTACACACCATTACAGCTCTTATAGCTTTGGAGGGGCCGCCTCAACATCAGTCCTTAACAAGAGTTTATTTAAACCCACATCCGCTAACCACCTTTTGCTGTCGCTGAAGGTACCTGCGAACTTCCTTCTGGCGATAATCACTATGTCATCTCGAATAATAATTTTTAACCGACTTCAAAAGGAGGTTATAAATTCGTCGGAATATTTTTTTTTATGTATGTTACCGCATAACTTTGGATCACGTTAACCGATTTCTATAATTATTTTTAAAGGAAAGGTGGTACCTCAGACTTATTTAGTTTAGATCCGATCATTGGATCATGAAGTAATTAACGGTACTCTTAAATTTTTATATGAGAATTGCCGTTGGTTTGGTTTTTTTTTGTTTAAAAATTACTTTTTTTCAAATGAAAGTATTAAGCTATTTAAAAAACATTTTATTTGTGTATGTAGTAAAATATTTTTTTTTATACATTTGAGTAAAATGTAAATTTTACTTTATTTCTTTTGCAGCTAATTGAAGTTAAATTACTACAAGTTGGGCCACGGATTGCGCTAAACTTACAAAAACTGCACCTTCTCGTGCAACTACTTAGCAGCGAAATTTTTCAGCAACTACTCGGAAAGACGGCACTTCAATTGTGATAAAAACCCAGCATCTACACTTGCGTACATATGTACATACATACATAAACAAAATACAAGCGCATACAGCTTCCTTTCAACTGCTACTACAATTCGTTCTGCTGCTGCACTCTGATTTAGCTTTTATGCCAACCATTGTTTCTGCCTCATTTTCACCTTTTAAGTCTGGCACCAGCAACCGGAAGTAAACTTATACATTCACATATATGATATTTAAGCAGAAGGAGGAGAAGAAGAAGAAGTGGAAAAGTGGGAGACAATTACTAAGGCATAAAAGTATATATATGTACTTGTGAGACACACTGTGCATAAGTCAGCCACTCCAGTCTCCTCACTAGCGCCTTCCTTTACGTACATACGTTAAGCGCCGCCACCGTCAGCGCCACCACCACCGCCACCAACACGCCTATATACTTCCAACACAATGGGTGACAATATAATTGGCTCGGCGAGTTTCCTGCACTTGGGCGATATTGTGTCGCTCTATGCGGAGGGCAGTGTTTGCGGCTTTCTCAGCACACTCGGGTAAGTTATTAAATAATTAATTTATGCATACAAATAGTATAAGTGAGTGTTAGTATGTACATATTTATTTCACCTATAGTTGCGTATATTGTAGTTAATCAATGTTTAACTACGTTTGTAAATGCATTGTTATTTTTATGCCTCTTTGTTTGTGCTCCTCTGATTGCCCCAAACCAATAATTCCAAGTATTTGTTCAATGGCTCGCGTGTGACCCTCGAAGGAATTTGCCTGCCTCCTAAACCCATGCATCCTCCGTTCTACATACACACATATGTATGTGTAGTTGTATATGTATGTAATTGCTTATGAGTTCCACAATGCCTCCCCAACAAGCGGCTTTATGTGTTTATGAATTTTTATTACCTGTTCTAATTATTGTTGCTGCATACCTGCCGTGTTATGTGATTAGGCGCTGCTAATATTTATTCTGGATTGACCATTAACATACTTATTTCATTCCTATATTGCTCGACCATACCTCGTCATACCAACCAAAACCAAATCAAATCGCCTACTCACTCTGCACGCCAATGTGGTGCCCTGTGTGCGCACTCCTGCCTGCGCTGCTGTTGATGTCTGCACCGTTTAAACACTCGCTCGTTTGCTCGCTGTTTGTTGCAAAAAAAAAAAAAAAACGACCTCCAAATTATCGCCGGCAACAATTACCAACGTCAGCCTTGTGGATGATCGTACCGTGGTGTGTCCGGAGGCGGGTGATTTAAATTATCCGCCGAAGAAGTTTAGAGGTGAGTAATTAATTGTTCAGCCACTTAATTTTTTTGCTTAGCTGGATTGCCACTAACAACTAATCTCCACATTCCTTGGCTTGCCACGCGTGTATTGTTTGTTTGCTTTATTTCATTCGTTTATTGCTTTCTGCCACCCCTACAGATTGCCTCATCAAGGTTTGTCCTATGAATCGTTACTCTGCACAGAAGCAATTCTGGAAAGCCGCCAAACAGTCTGCCAGCTCGAACACAGACACGAATTTGCTGAAGCGTTTGCATGTGAGTACCTTATTTAGATAATAAATTTCTTTAGGCATATACTTAAGGTATGTACATATGTACGTACATAAGGGGGTATGCATATATGTATGTATGTATGTGCATTTGAAAATCTCAAGTGACCACTTCGATTTGAGCTAGTGTGCGTGCATATGTTTAAATAATAAGCGAGTAGATTTTCAATTTATTATTTTCCTCTATAGAGTCTGTTATAGAAGATACAGAAGACAGAATAGTAAGGTCAAGCGTCGAATGATCAGAAAGCTGTGCACACTGCGCCACTTTCTTTCACCAAGGGTGAAATTCAGGTAGACATCGGGAAGGCGAAAGCCTCAAAAGCTATAGGTCCGAACGTTCTCGATTTGTATAAGTTAAGAAGGGTGGTCCCACTATTTAAGCCGGGCAACCCCAATAACATAGTTGAGTCTTATTTCCCCAAGGGCAAATATGCTTGAGGCCTGGCTAATACCGTACTGCGCTTGTCATCTAACCCCAGCAAAGCATCAGCATGGCTACCGTAGAGTGCACATCACTACCACACTACTTAACGCAATAAGCACACAGGAAACTTGCGGCCTTAACCGTAACCGCCCTGTCCGGTCAGCGCTGGACTTGTCAAAGGTATTCGACACCGTCTTGAATTCCACCGTGATAGAAGACATTGAGACATCCTATCTCCCGCAGGGATTAAAACGGTGGACGGCGAATTACCTGAGAGTCGGAAAAAGGGTTCCCACAGGCCACCGGAGGCGGTGTTTCCCTGATTTTTTACGCTAACAATTGCCTGCACGGAGCCTAACCCTATCTCCTATAATATCCACGGCGGTCTTCTTTACCACTTTTATAAAAGAGGTCAAGCTGCAATTAGACATTCACATAAATGGCCCACCAATTCCTAGAGCGAAAAACCCGACAATTTTAGTGGTTACCATTGACAGTTTGTCCTGTTTCCGCTTGAACGCTACTGAATTGTCGGAATACAGCACTCCGGATAGCAACGGGACGCCTTCTGATGTCGCCCGACCATCACTGCAGGGCGCGTTCGAACAGACACTTGCTGGAAGCAGAGCCAGATACGTTAAGTAATCTCCAAGAACTCACAAGCCCGACAGAGGGAATTCATTACCTACTTCAGCAGAGACTCTGGCTCCATAAATGCCGTGTTAGGACCAAAAGACCACGCAGACCAGTAGACGAATAGCGTCAACTGCGAGACGAACAATTAAGCTCTGAATACTTCAGTAAACTGAACTCGTGCCTCTCCAAACTCAACTCCGACATACCAAACATAAGCTCGACTTGTGAAGGCTACCTCAACGACACCAATCAGCTCTTTACATGCGCACATAAATCGATTCAGCTAATAACGCTCTCCTTTTAGTCCGACCCCCTCGAAACAGCACGATTTCTGGGTCTATCGTAAGTTGAGCTTGACGACAACGGCTGATAGACTAGCCGATTTCCTAATGCAGACTGGATAATCGTTCGTGCTAAATTATAACTCGAATTTTTGTATGGGTTTGAACAAGTTTGCAATTAATTTGCTTCTAAAGTTTTGTTAAGTTACATTAGACGGAAACTTTGAGAAGAAACGCATCTATTTGTACTCGTATAGTTAGCAGGTCTGGTCCATATAGTTTCTTCTGGTGCAATCTGAGAGAGAAGGGGATAAGTTGGAGATAAGGAAGGTATGTATTTTTCACATCAGCGCTAAACTTGGTTATAGGATAAGATGAAAGAAAGTTATTTATGCAACTACCCCACTCATATTTATTTGGGCAAGTCCAAGCACATCGTGCCGCACAATGCATCTTTGAGAATATTGAATTTTCTTAAGCGACTTCTGGGCGGATAGTCAATTAACTTCCTCCTCTGCATTTTTCGCTTTTATCTTCCATTGCGCCTCTTTCGTACAGCACGCTGCCGAAATCGAGAAGAAGCAAAATGATACGGAAAACAAAAAATTGCTGGGCACCGTTGTTCAATATGGCAGCGTCGTGCAACTGCTCCATCTCAAATCCAACAAATACCTGACCATGAACAAACGACTGCCCTCGCTGCTGGAGAAAAATGCAATGCGCGTTTACTTGGATGCCAATGGCAATGAGGGTTCGTGGTTCTACATAATGCCCTTCTATAAGTTGCGTTCCGCAGGTGATAATGTTGTTGTTGGCGACAAGGTCATCTTGAATCCCGTAAATGCTGAACAACAAAATTTGCACGTCGCTGCCAATTACGAACTCCCCGACAATCCTGGCTGCAAGGAGGTGAACGTACTAAACTCCTCGACTTCATGGAAAATTACGCTCTTCATGGAGCACAAAGAAAACCAGGAGCACATTCTTAAGGGTGGCGATGTTGTGCGCCTCTTTCATGCCGAGCAGGAGAAATTCCTCACCATGGACGAGTATAAAAAGCAACAGCATGTGTTTTTGCGCACAACGGGACGTACAAGCGCGACGGCAGCCACCAGCAGTAAAGCGTTGTGGGAGGTGGAGGTTGTGCAGCATGACTCGTGTCGCGGCGGTGCCGGTCACTGGAATTCATTGTATCGTTTTAAACATTTGGCCACCGGTTATTACTTGGCTGCCGAGCTGGAATCGGTAGGCAGCGCATCGTTGACACACTCGCTGGATGGCAGTGGGCTGGATGCATCACTGAAGGAGGCAGGTGTGTAGCTTCAAAGGATGGTGCCCCCTTTATACATAAGCAACGCATTTCTTTATTTCATTAAAATTTATTTTCATTCAATCAACACAGAGAAGAGCAAATGTGAACGCTATCGCCTTGTGCCGGTGCCATACTCCACGGAAATCGCATCGGTGTTCGAATTGGATCCCACAACGATGGCGCGCGCCGACAGCCTTGTGCCGCAATCGAGCTATGTGCGTTTACGGCATTTGTGCTCGAACACATGGGTGCACGCCACCTCCATACCCATCGACATAGACGATGACAAGCCGGTGATGTCAAAGGTACGCAAAAGCACACGCACAAGCACACTCATGCGTAGACAAAAGCAATTCAATTTAAATTTCAATGCAATTTGGCGCAGACCTTGAACTCAATTTATTCCAATTTTATTGCACGCAGGTTTGCTGTTCGCCTATCAAAGAGGATAAAGAGGCATTTGCACTCATACCCGTCTCGCCTGTGGAGGTGCGTGATTTGGATTTCGCAAACGATGCCTGCAAAGTGCTGGATACCGTTACGAGTAAGCTGGTGAACGGCAGCATTTCGATAAATGAGCGCCGCTCGTTGATTGCTTTGCTGCAGGACATAGTTTTCTTTATTGCTGGCATGGAGAACGAGCAGAACAAGGCGAAGGCTTTGGAATTGACAATTAAGAATCCGATACGAGATCGTCAAAAGCTGTTGCGCGAGCAATATATACTAAAGCAGCTGTTCAAAATACTGCAGGGCCCATTTCAGGAGAATCCCAGCGGTGAAGCGCCCTTTTTGCGGCTCGATGAACTGAGCGACCCGAAAAACAGTCCGTATAAAAATATATTCCGCTTATGCTATCGCATATTGCGTCTATCGCAGCAGGACTATCGAAAGAATCAGGTGAGCTAACTAAATAGTTAATTGCATTTTAGTGTCACCCTACGTTATGGTCTCTCTCGCTCTCTCGATCTTTCTTTTTTTTTAGGAGTATATTGCCAAGCATTTTGGTCTCATGCAAAAGCAAATTGGCTATGACATCCTCGCCGAGGACACTATCACCGCACTGTTGCATAACAATCGCAAACTGCTCGAGAAGCACATAACAGCCGCAGAGATCGAGACTTTTGTGGGTCTAGTACGCAAGAATATGCACAACTGGGACTCGCGCTTTCTCGACTATCTCTCCGATTTGTGTGTTTCGAATCGCAAGGCGATTGCTGTGACACAGGAGCTAATTTGTAAAAGTGTACTCAGCTCAAAGAACTCGGACATACTTATCGAAACGCAAATTAAGCACTTCAAAACGCCCGTTAACGATGGCTTCCGCAATGCTGCGGATGATTCATATTCGCTTGGCACGCTGACAGAGGTGTTGGACGATGATGAGCGGTCCGATTTGATCTCGAATTCAACCACAACCACCAGCTGGGACACCACCAGTCTAAATGATGCGCCCGAAATCGAGGAGAAATATGAAATACATTTAAAGTGGCGCGGCCAGCCGGTAAGTGCAACGGCTGAATTTTGTACATTTAAGTGTTGGAATGCTTAAGTCGTTCATTGATTTCTTTATTTCATTTTATTTTATTTATATTTTTAATTTATAGAACTCTCGTTCAATGGGCGATTTGGCTGACTGCGCTGCTCAAGGCAAGGAGGAGGAGGCCGCCATACTCAATTACTATCGTCACCAATTGAATTTGTTTTCGAACATGTGTTTGAATCGTCAATATTTGGCCTTGAATATCTTATCGCCACATTTGGATATCGATTTGATTCTTAAGTATGCTACATGTGCCAATGTGCACTGTTTGTGAGATTTATAGCATCCAAACGTATTTTATTGTTTTCGTATTTTTCAGATGCATGTCCGATGAGACAATGCCATATGAGTTGCGCGCCTCTTTCTGTCGTCTAATGCTACATTTGCATGTCGATCGCGATCCACAGGAGCCAGTGACGCCGGTGAAATATGCGCGCCTCTGGAGCGAAATACCATCTAAGATGTCGATATTAGAGTGAGTTTCGTTTTTTAGTTTAATGTTCTTAATCACCATTTCTCAACAAATATCAATCACTTTGCAGCTACGACGGCAAAAATCAACAACCCGACCACAACAAAGAAGCTGTGCGTGCCAAATTCAACACCACAATCGCATTTGTAGAAAACTATCTCTGCAATGTGGCCACTAAGGTATGGCTATTCACCGATCAGGAGCAAAATAAGTTGACATTCGAGGTATGGCTTCCAAAGCTCACACTTTTCGTTCGCAATAAAACACCCTACATTGTTGCAGGTGGTTAAGCTGGCACGTGATCTCATTTACTTTGGCTTCTATAGCTTCAGCGATTTGCTGCGCTTAACCAAAACATTGCTCTGCATTTTGGACTGCGTATCAGAGACTGCCATGGATGGTGGGGCACCGGGACGTTTCGTAAACACGGACATTGATTGTAAGTTGTGCAAGAAAAGAGTGTACCTTTCTACTGGGTTACATTTTGCGAAAGATTTACCTCGATTACTTACTGCTTGAATTTAATATTCGAAATCGTATATTACTTTCTTTTCGAATTATTTACTGGTTTCTTTATTGCCTGTTTAAAATGTTGGCTTTTATTTTTGTTGAATTTCAACTGCGGCTTTTGCTTTCGTGTTACAATTTAAATTATTGTTAATTTGATTAAAAAGCGGCACAAGAAGAGGAAGCGGGTAAGTTTCTGAAACGTTTCCTAAGAAAGTAACAACAGCTATTACTATAAAGTGTTTTGCCAACTTTACTTAATTTGTTAAATCTTTGCCCAAACTAACACAGCTTTAACTAACCTCTGTTTCCTGTTTCTGTCTCCTTAAACAGCCGAAGGTGGCGTACTTCGCTCGATCGGTGACATGAACACCGTAATGACTTCGCTAGCACTCGGCTCTGTCGGTCAAGCAATCGCCTCGCCTGCATCGCTAGCACTACAACATCGCAAGTCCGTGTCCCAAATGCTGAAAGAGTATCCATTGGTCATGGATACTAAATTGAAGATAATCGAGATTCTACAATTCATACTGGACGTACGTTTGGATTATAGAATCAGTTGCCTCCTATCGATATTCAAACGCGAATTTGATGAGACCGAGCTAAGTGCGGCTGCAGCAGCAGTCGCGGCGGCACAAGCTGCGGCGGCACACACAACTACTGGCGCTGGATCATCTGATGGCGGTGCTGCTGGGGATGGCAATATTAGCGGCGCTGAGACAAGTGCCAAAGATGCGGCGCTAATGGAAGCCGCAGCCACAGCTGCTGCTGCGCTCAGTGCACGTCAGCGGAATATCGATTTGGAGTCAATAGGTGTGCAGGCTGAGGACATTTTCGATTGTGACAGTGGCGATGCGGCGAATTTGGATTTGGATGGGCAGGGTGGTCGCACATTCCTGCGCGTGCTGCTGCATCTCATCATGCACGATTATCCGCCGTTGGTATCAGGCGCGCTGCACTTACTATTCAGACATTTTAGTCAGCGGCAGGAGGTGTTACAAGCTTTCAGGCAGGTAAGTGGTGATGCAATGAAAAAGTGCATTTTGTGATTTGTGTTTGGTGTTGAAATCGTTAAATTTGTATTTATGAACTAATGTACATACGTGTTTTAATTTATTTACTAACCTCAATTTTTCTTTTGAATTTATACCACGCCTTATAATTTACTGCCTGCTCATTACTATACCCGTAATCCCTCCACAAACCTAACCTATCCGTGTGCTAGCCAAAATGGGATCATATCGTTAGTACTAACAATTTTTGTTTAGAAATTTTTTTGTATAAAATTTTGTAAACTATTTGAAATAGGAAACATTAAAATTCCACTCTGTTTACAGGTGCAATTACTCGTATCCGACAGCGATGTAGAGTCATATAAGCAAATTAAGTCCGATTTGGATATTTTGCGCCAAAGCGTTGAAAAGTCCGAGCTCTGGGTCTACAAGCCAAAAACAACTGATGAGTTTAATGCAAGTATGTGCCAGCACTTCCATTATCCTAATCAAAATTAATTAATTAATAATGTTTTATTTCATCACACTCCAGCCGCTGAACGTTCGTCTGACCCAGCCATCGATGTCTCCAACTTGAGTAATGAATATCGCGCCTCACTCTCTAACGAGCAACTCAATGAGTACAAAAAAGTTAAGGAGATACTTATACGCATGAATAAATTCTGCGTCACCTCTGGTATGTTGGTGAATAATTAACTGTATTTATTGTTTGGAGTCACATTTTAAGTACTACACAAAATTTATGGAAACCCATATTTTGTCGATATTTTCCGCCCCTCCTTGCATAATCTGGAAAATTACAAAATTTTGGGTTAATTTTTTTATATTGATATCTATTCTAAATCACAAATTTTTTATTATATTAAACCTCTTTGGCACGCAAGGCCCTATCGTGAAGCCACGCAAACACGAGCAACGTCTACTACGCAACGTTGGCGTACACACTGTTATTCTTGATCTGCTGCAGAATCCCTATGATGAGAAAGACGATGTGCTGATGAAGGAATTGATGTGCTTAGCGCATGAGTTTCTGCAGAACTTCTGCTTGGGAAATCAGCAAAATCAAGTTTTGCTGCATAATCAGTTAGACTTGTTCCTGAATCCGGGGGTAAGTAGGATTAGATTGTTAGTTGTTTTCACCTACCCATCGTCAATAACTTGGCACATTCCTGATATTTCCATTTAATTGACGATCTTTTTTTAATACTTCTTATTCAAATCACACGATTCCATATTCCTTTCTGATGCCAGATCTTGGAGGCCAAGACCGTTTGCGCTATCTTCAAAGACAATCTCGCTCTCTGCAACGAAGTTACCGACAAAGTCGTACAGCATTTCGTACATTGCATTGAGATCCATGGCCGACACGTTGTCTACTTGCAGTTTCTTCAAACGATTGTCAAAGCTGAAAATCAATTTATACGCAAGTGTCAGGATATGGTCATGCAGGAATTGATTAATGCCGGCGAGGATGTGCTCGTCTTCTACAACGATAAGACCTCCTTCAATCAGTTTGTCTCGATGATGCAGATTGAAAAGTCGCCACTAAGCGATACTAGTCAACTGCGTTACCATGTGGAACTGGTTAAGCTGCTGGCTTGCTGTACCATGGGCAAGAATGTGTACACCGAAATCAAGTGCAATAATTTGCTCTCACTGGACGATATAGTGACCATTATTTGTAATCCTGCTTGCATACCCGAGGTTAAAGAGGCCTATGTTGATTTCCTTAATCATTGTTACATCGACACCGAGGTGGAGGTGAAGGAGATCTACTCGTCGAGCCATATGTGGAATTTGTTCGAGAAATCGTTTCTGGTCGACATCAATCAGCTGATTGCCATCGGCGCCAATGCCGATAAAACCCTACTTAATTATGTGCTTAGTGGTGTAACGAATGTATTGAATACCTTCTTCTCCAGCCCCTTCTCCGATCAAAGCACCATCGTGCAGACGCGTCAGATGATTTTCGTTCAGATACTGCAAGCCACCTATCGCCTGTCGCAGTGCAAGTGGCTGTCACTGGCCGATCGCTTTAATGTCGAGAACTGCGTTCGTACGTTGGCTGAATCGGCGAAGACACGCAACATTGCGATACCGCTCGATCTGGAGCAGCAGGTGGTGTCGATGTCTAGCAAAACAGCCTTGCTAACGCGTCAGACCACCAAATGGCTATTGGCCTCGAAGCAGCCAAAATATGAAACACAGCTCTCGGCAAATTTAATGCGTTTGGACCGATCGATCATAGAGGGCTTGCAAGATATTGTCTCGCTGTTGGAAGATCAACTGAAGCCGGTGGTGGAGGCGGAGTTGTCGTTGTTGGTTGACATTCTGTATAGATCGGAGTTACTCTTTCCGCCTGGTACCGAGGCGCGCAAGCGTTGCGAGAGCGGTGGCTTCATTAGAAAGCTAATCAAACATACTGAGAAGCTGCTGGAGGAGAAGGAGGAAAAACTGTGCGTGAAGGTGTTGCGTACACTGCGCGAAATGATGGCAATCGATGTGAATTACGGCGAGAAAGGCGATGCATTGCGCAACACTCTATTAATGAGGTACTTTGATCGTAAGGGGGGCGGTGGAAGTGGTGGAATTATAAGCGGTATTGGCGGCGGAGTTGGCATTGGTATCAAAGGAGGAAGCAGTGAAAGCAGCAGTCTCGGCATTGGTGGAGTGGGACCAAAAGCAATCGAAGGTGAGTCCAAAACATTTTAAATAATTTTTTAATATTTTATCGGTACTAGTGAGTTATAACATCGCCACTGCCAAATGTGACACTTGAGATGCAACAGAAGTGCGTCTCTCTTCTGCCCTCTTTCTCCCTCTCTCTCTCTCTCTCCCCCTCTCTCTCTCTCTCTCTTTATCTCGCCTCCTCCCATACTAATATTGTGCTACACACATCGGGTTAAGATTAAAGTTAAATAAATGAATCGAGAGGAGTGTCCCTGTTTTTACCTTTACAGGCAAGTCGGATGCTAGCGATGGTAGCGCGCTGGAGCAGCAGAAGCGCGTTTATTTGGTAACACATGGCCCTGGCGCCAAGTACCTTCAACGCGCTGGCAAAACTCTACACGAGGTTCAAAATCATTTAGATCGCGAGGGCGCATCCGATCTGGTCATTGAACTTGTCATAAAATCTGTACACTCGCCCTCGATCTTCGTGGAGGCCGTCGAGCTGGGTATTGCGCTGCTTGAAGGTGGAAATCCTATCATACAGAAGGGCATGTATCAAAAATTTTTAAGCGGCGACTTCAATCAAGCTTTCTACAAGGTTTTCTTCGAGAAGATGAAAGACTCACAGCAAGAGATAAAGTCCACGGTTACGGTAAACACCACAGACATTGCCGCGAAGGCGCACGAAAACAAGCAGGATGCCAATCTGGAGCTGGACAAAATAGCACGCAAGCATGGTGTGAAGAGCAATGGCGTCGTCATCACCGACGAGCTGAAGAAGGAGCTGCATAATGCAGGCTTGGCGACAGCGCGCGCTTATGGCAATGCACGCAGCATTCATCCGGGTGATGAAAATTCTGCAATTAGCATTAATAGCCCGTTGGAAGACATACTCGCCGAAAAGTTGGAGAAACACAAGGACAGCAAGGAGGATCGGCATAAGATTTCGAATAAAGTATTGGTAATGCAACCGATACTGAGGTTCTTGCAATTGCTTTGTGAGAATCACAATCCCGATCTGCAGAATTTGCTGCGAAATCAAAACAATAAGACTAACTACAATCTCGTCTCCGAAACGTTGATGTTTCTGGATTGCATTTGTGGCTCGACCACAGGTGGACTGGGCCTGCTCGGTCTCTACATCAACGAAAACAATGTGGCACTCATAAATCAAACCTTGGAAACGCTTACCGAGTATTGTCAAGGGCCATGCCATGAGAATCAAAATTGCATAGCAACACACGAATCTAACGGGCTGGACATTATAACGGCGCTCATATTAAACAACATCAATCCGCTGGGTGAAAATCGCATGGATCTCGTTTTGGAGCTGAAGAACAATGCCTCGAAATTGCTGTTGGCTATTATGGAGAGTCGCGGCGACAGCGAGAATGCCGAACGCATTTTGTACAATATGAATCCGAAACAGCTGGTGGAGGTTGCCTGCAAGGCATACCATCAAGAGGAAATGATCGACGAAAGTGATGATCACGATGAAGGCGATGCGGATGCAGATGACGATGTGTCGGTGAGTCCACGCGAGGTGGGTCACAACATCTACATACTTTGCCACCAGCTGGCGCAGCACAACAAGGAACTGGCAGCACTGCTCAAGGCCTGTGAAGATCCACAAGCGGCCAACTTCGACGCCAAAATGAGTCAGGCGCTAATGTACTACGCAACACACACAGCGCAAATTGAAGTGAGTGAGAAGTTAGAGTTTTGGGTTGTTAATTTTATCGTTGTTGTTTTTTTTTTTTGTATTTCATGTTCAAAGATCGTACGTAATGATCGCACTTTGGAGCAGATAGTTTTTCCGATACCCGAAATATGTGAGTACTTGACCACAGATACTAAAATCAAGATTTTGAACACAGCAGAACGTGACGATCAGGGCTCAAAGGTGGCCGATTTCTTCGACAAAGCCGAGGAGATGTTTAATGAAATGAAATGGCAGAAGAAGTTGAGAGGTAAGTAACATAAAAATGGAACTTTCTAAACGAACGTCGCTAAAAATCAGATTATGACTGACAGGTCAGCCCTTCCTATTCTGGGTCAGTAGTTACATGTCGCTGTGGAGCAATATACTCTTCAATTGTGTCGTTGTTATTAATCTAATTGTTGCCTTCTTTTATCCTTTTGACAATACTGTGCCGGGTAAGTAAATCGTTATAGCTTTCAGCTTTCTAACTGTATCTCAATCTGAAATTTTTTTTTACAGAGCTCAGTTCTCATATATCCTTACTCTTTTGGGCAATTCTGCTGTTCTCTCTGGCTATTGTTGTAACGCTACCGCGCGAGTCGGGTATACGTACTTTAATTGGTTCGGTGATACTACGTTCGATATTTCTAATTGGGCCGGAGTCAACGCTTTGTCTGCTTGGAGTTGTGACTGTAAGTGAAAAATCAAACAACCAAAACCAATTTGTGCCTGAAACACAAATAATTTTTTCTCCCTCCACAACCAGGTCACTTTGAAAAGCGTACATATTGTGAGCATTATGGGCAATAACGGTACCTTGGAAAAGAATTTCTTCAAAATTATCACGGACATGCAACTGCTCTACCACTGCATTTATATCATCTTCTGCTTTTGTGGACTGATTTTCCATCCCTTCTTCTACTCACTGCTGGTGCGTGGGCGCAACCGCTGCGCAGATTTTCATATGTGCATTAGACCGTACCACCGTACAGGCAAACAAAAGAAGTTCGCCGTACTCCCTGGTCTAAAATATTTTTGAAGGCAATTTCGAGAATTTATTTTTTTTTTGCTGAGATAGGGGTCACCTTTTTACATTTTTCGTTGACACCTACATACGGTTATACAATATTTTTTTCTAAATAAGTAGTTCTACTAGAATAATCACGGGGTACTTGAGGTCAATCAACCTTGGAACAAAAAATACTGTATCCTCGAGAAAATAACATTGATATAGCGTACTTTAAGATCCGAATGTAAACGTCGAAGATATGACGAAAAATTTAAAAAGGCGACACCTGCATACGTTCGGCAAAAAAAAAATGAAGAATCGAAATTGCCTTGCAAAAATACTTTAGCCTCAGGGGGATACCGCGAAATTTTTTTCCGGTACGGTCTAAAATACATATATACATACATAAATATACATACATAAAAATAAATTTTGTCTATGTCTTCAGCTCTTTGATGTCGTCTATCGCGAGGAGACCCTGGTCAATGTCATACGCTCCGTGACACGCAATGGTCGCTCGATTGTGTTGACTGCTGTATTGGCTTTGATTTTGGTTTATCTCTTTTCCATCATCGGCTATATGTTCTTTAAGGACGACTTCCTTGTCGAAGTTGACACCGATGAAACACAAACGACAGTAACGCCTTCGCTTGCGGATATCACAATATCATTGCCAGCGAATGGAGGGGGAGACACTTGCAGCGCGCCGGATACATTTGGGAAGGATGCCTTTTCTGGCGCTGATGATGGCGCTGGAGCGCATGCCAACGTTGCTGGTTCTACCAGCGCAGCAACTGCTGATGACAATGGTGGTTGCGGAGGAGAAACAAAGGAACGTTCTTGTGATTCTTTGGTGATGTGCATCGTAACGACACTGAATCAAGGTTTACGAAATGGTGGCGGTATTGGAGATATACTACGCGCACCATCGAGCAAGGTGAGTGTAGGGAATAATGTATGTAATGTACTATAAAATTGAATTTAAAAGTGTAAAGTTTGATGTTAGGCCTTTTTGTGAACCGATGTAATGTTGCATATGTATGTACATCACTCAATGCCCTTTTCTCTCTTGCAATGTTTTCTCAACAGGAGAGCCTTTTCGCTGCACGTGTCATATACGATCTACTCTTCTTCTTCATTGTCATCATTATTGTGTTGAATTTAATTTTTGGTGTCATCATTGACACCTTTGCCGATCTGAGAAGTGAAAAGCAGCAAAAAGAGTTAATTCTCAAGAACACCTGCTTCATTTGTGGCCTAAATCGTTCGGCATTCGACAACAAAACGGTCAGTTTTGAGGAGCATATCAAGAGTGAACACAATATGTGGCACTATTTGTACTTCATAGTTTTGGTTAAAGTGAAGGATCCCACAGAATTCACCGGACCCGAAAGTTACGTATACGCCATGGTGAAAGCCGGCATTCTGGACTGGTTCCCACGATTGCGCGCCATGTCTTTGGCCGCTGTGGACGCGGACGGCGAACAAATTGAGCTACGCAGCATGCAGGCGCAACTGCTGGAAACGCAATTGCTCATCACCAACTTGTCACAGCAGTTGCACGAGCTGAAGGATCACATGACTGAGCAGCGCAAACAAAAACAACGCTTAGGTTTGCTCAATACAGCGCCGAGTAATCTGTTGGCGTGCTATCAACTGCGCGATGCGAATAGTTTGTCATGAAGTGTGGATGCGGGCGATGGCGTATAAGTTACGCGACACGTTTTGCAAGTGCATTTAAGGAAATGTGGCATTTCAATTGGTTTCTTATTCATTTATTAATATTTTTTATTGTTATTTACTTGCGAAATGGATCGAATTATTATAAGCATTAGGCGCAAAGGAAGCAATCAAGTAAGCAGGATAAAATGTGTGAAACGCGCAACAGAACAGTGAAAAACAGTGATTTTATTTGCAATACTTCCAAAAAGAAAATTAACAAAAATTAGCTTCCTCATGCAAAATACGAACAAATATTTGACAACAAAAACAAAAAAAGTACATAATTTCATGTTGTGTGTGTAAAACTGTAGGGCGAAAATATATACATATTTGTCACTGTAGTTGTTGTTAGCGCGTTACCCGACTTTTAAGCGTAGCCTTTCTGAAACACCCCTGTTTATGTGACGAATACGAATCATGAAAGCACCATTTATCCTGCATTTGCAATATATATATAGATAAGCATATATTTTACAATTTTTGCACATTGTGATTTGCAAAGCATTACTTATTCGTTAACTTTTTTTGTTTTTTTTTTGGAAAAACAAAAACTTTCTCCTCTCTGCACTCTTTCGTCTCGAAACTAACAAGTAAGTTCCTTTTCTCAAACACTTTTATTGTCACTTTAGTGGCGTTTTTAAAAAATCTTCACATTAACCTTTTTATATCTATACACCTTTCTGATCAATTACAAACTTTCGTACTAGAAAACTTGTTCATATATATATACATACATATATTCAAAGAAATATCCTATACCTACAGCAATATTTACCCATGTATACTATTGTATCTCTCAACTTTTAAAGGTCTAACTGGGCCACTATTCTAAGCGAAACTCTTTATAATAAAATGTGATGTTTTTATTTAAAATATCTAATCATCACACTTAGTGCCCTTTCCAGTCTTTACTAGCTCTACTAAAATTGTATTGATACTAAATGCTGTNGGAAAAACAAAAACTTTTTCCTCTCTGCACTCTTTCGTCTCGAAACTAACAAATAAGTTCCTTTTCTCAAACACTTTTATTGTCACTTTAGTGGCGTTTTTAAAAAATCTTCACATTAACTTTTTTATATCTACACACCTTTCTGATCAATTACAAACTTTCGTAATAGAAAACTTGTTCATATACATATATGTACATACATACATATATTCAAAGAAATATCCTATACCTATAGCAATATTTACCCATGTATACTATTGTATCTGTCAACTTTTAAAAGTCTAACTGGCCACTATTCTAAGCGAAACTCTTTATAATAAAATGTGATGTTTTTTGATTTAAAATATCTAATCATCACACTTAGTGCCGTTTCCAGTCTTTACTAGCTCTACTAAAATTGTATTGATACTAAATGCTGTGGTTTCTACAAAATAATTTTACACTTCTACATGCAAACATATTTTGTAGTTTTGACAATTTTCGAAGTACTTTAATTGCAATTAAACTAAAACTAAAAGTAAAGTTTAAAGTAAATTTATGGAGACTAATTTTTTAGCTCAATTAATATTAATATTATTGATTATACCACTTAAATCTATTGAAAACATAAATGATGTATATAACTTACACACTTTCATATATATAAATACATATATGGTATGTATTGAATTTTTCAGTTATGGAATTCTATAGAAATTTTAATAAAATTGTAGTCAATCACATAAAATGTAATTGAATGTTTTAATCATTTAGTGAGCAGAAAATTTAAAGAAAAATAAAGTAAGCAAATTTAAAAAAATAAAAATCAAAATGTCTTCTTTTATTAGCTTAGATAAGGTACAGTACCTGTAGGAATCCACTTAGGCTGTCGATGGTGTTTACAGCAACGTAAACTGCATATTTTCGACTAATTTTTCGGGAATATTGGCATAATAGTTTATCGAATTCTCTTGCCTGGATAACTTGTTAGCATAATAATAAAGAATACTCTATTAGAACCATAGCTTTTATTCGACTGTACAGTGTATTTGTATCCTGGACCCTCATATATGGTGAAATCATAGCTGGTATTTGGGAAGTTCCTTCCTTCTTTCACAATTTCGATGACTTTATTTTTTAAGAAACCTTCGATGTTATTGCTGTAACGCCACCAGTTGAACTCTCCGAAGTTCTTTTGAGCTCGAGATTTTTCTTTTTGAAAGCCTCAAATTACATTTACGCATTTCTTTAGAGACAATTCAAATGCTTTTTCTTTATGTAGTGTAGATCAGTACTTATAAATGATAACATGTAATAATACCCACGACTCACTGCTGACGCTCGGATTATTCTTGTGCGTATTCCCATTCGATGTTTGGACTTCTTCTTCGCCTGTAGAAACATCTGCATAATTGGCATTCCAACAAAAATTCCCCTTGCTAAGATTTTTCCAGTATTTCAAACCGTAAAGTCAGCAGGACTTCGTTAGGAATATTAAGAATACTTGGTGCAAACAGTTAATAATATAATAATAATAATAGATTGGCGCTTACACATACTATGTTAGTGTTTGGCCGAGCTTCTCCTCCGACTTGTGGCGTGCGCCTTGATGTTGTCAGCCGCTGTGGTGTAATGGTAAGCAGTGCGCGCTTTCACTCATCAGCACCTGGGTTCAAGCCCTGGCCAAAGCAAAATCCCAAAAAATATAGAAAAAGGTTTTTTCTTAACAGCGGTCGTCCGTCGGCAGGAAATGGCAAACCTCCGAGTGTATTTCTGCCATGAAAAACAGCTTCACACACAGTTGCATCAACCTTATTGTGGATTGGCTAGAGCTAACAAGTTTCCAATCTTCTAGCATGTATTCATCAGACCAAATTGCGCTAAAAAGCTCGTACTTCTCCTAGCCAGATCTGTACCGCCGGCTTAGAACAGCTTGGCCGGCCTACCGACAGGTTCGTGTGCTTTGTTTGTTTATTTTTAAGAGGCATATTTGCTCTTAATTAAAAGTTACATACTAGCACATGGCGTATGAGTAACATTCTTTCCCGCTCATATTTCATAAAAAAATTTTATTACCCATTTTCATTTTAACATTCACGACTTTTCTTTATTTATTTATCGAATTTCTTCGCTATTAGCCTATTTTTTTTTTTTTTGTAAAATTACAGGCTTTAATACAATTGACAAAATTTACAAAAAATATTATCTGGAATTTTTTATGAGACTTGGTAAGAATATTAAGTTGGTAGTACCGGAACTATTTCTTTCACGTTTATTTGCCGAAAGTTTCTCAACGGCTCGGCGCCAGTCAGTAATTCGCTATCGTATGCGGTGATTGCTGCATTATACTAAAGCCAGCCTTTCGAAATAAGCTACTATTCCATACGAACACAATCTGCTGCATGAACTATGAATAAGATGAATAAACAATTTTTAACTGTGAAAAACAGGTTATTTATTTATCAATAAACCTAAATCGAAAGACAAAACGACTCATAGTCATTTATTTGAAATATTATTTCGCAAAGTAATGTGAGGGAAATTGTATGAAAACAATTGAAAACTGTTGGGTATCGATAAACTAATTATGGGTTGACACAGAAGGAAATTAATTAAGTGAATTAAGAAAACATTTTTTATTTTATAAGTAACACTTGCGTTTTTCATTAGTTTTCATGTATCGCAGTGCAATTACACGCACACGAGTAGACCTTTTTCGACCACTCGCACAAAAGTGGTGTCACCACATGTGGCTTCGTATGCGGTAGAGGGTTAAGCTGCTTTTACACGAGTTGCTTTTGTAGCGGCTACACGAGTCGAATTTATGAACGGCTTTTTCAGCCGATTTTCCAGTCGACAGAAATCGACCGGTGTAAAGACTTTATTTATAACATCAACAAAATTTTTGTATAAAATTAATAAAATAAAATTTGCAAATTTTTTGCTTGCTGCCATGGCAAGCGTGTGCATTTTATTGTTGTTAATTTACAAAGGCAACGAATATGCAAATCCCAGAGCATATGCATAAGACCCTGAACAGCCCTAGTATTATTTACTTTACTCCGGTATATTTTCTCACAGGCCCGTCAAAAGGGGGAAATATCTGAATCATAACTTGTTATTATTTTTGTACAATTTAATTTTGAAACCATTTCAATAACCATTTTTCCGAACATTTGCGTCGCTTTGCGAATATTTTGCAGAATACCTGTTACTATGGCTAGTGCTGAACGTTCCTTCAGTGTGATTGCCGTAAGAGCGTTCCAGCTTTTCCACGCAATTCACTGTCAAATGGAGAAAGAGACATTTTATTCCGATGTATGAACAGGCAGAAAGACCTTTCTGTCACATTTCGGAAATCAGCTTCAGAAATAAAAGATGCAAAATGTGACTGCAATCCAGAGAGCGCAAATCGATTTCGGAAATACATTTCAACTCGCTCATGCTGCACTAGCAATCTGCAATTCGCCTTTCGGCCGGGGTCCGAGTTTTCTCTCGGCAGTCCTATTTTCGCACTATTTAGTAGATACCTGAATTTCTTACTCACTAGTATTTTTTTAGTTGTGCGCGATGAGAATTACAACATATACTTTTTTTTAACGAAAATCACTGTTTGAAGAAATTTATTTACTAACCATCCAAGCACTGCAAAATGGACTTTGGACTGTTTTTTTTTGCAAATTGAAAGGAACAAAAGCCATGCGACACACACAAACATATACTGCCACAGAGAATTACAATTTTTGAGTATTTTTTTAAATTAATTTTTGCCGTTGTTATGGAACTTTTAGTTGACCTCGCCAAATTGACTGGGCATAAGAGGGTTAATTATTTCCTTCTAAGCGAAAAACATTATTTTAGAATTTCATACATATTACATAGCACGCATCATATCTACAATTAAATTTGTATGTAAGTAAGTATAACCCTTATTCTTCCAACTACCACATCTTCATTTAAACTCTTGCTGTTATGCAATGCGGAAGCCGGTTATATAACAAAGAGATTGGAGCAACTACTATTATCCAATTTTGTTTCTGGCCTGAATTCCGTCAGAAACGTGCCCAATCGTGCCTTTTCCAGCAATCACTTTACACTCAATGAAATTGAGTTAAACTAGGCCAACCAGTGGTCAAATTAGGTGAGCAGGAGGAACACTTTGGGTTAGCTGAACACTAGTAATAAGTTTTTATTTCCTGCTAATGCGGTCATTTAATTTAATTTACTCCATCTAAAGTTGAACTTTTGGTTTTTTACTAAAGTCACTGGGAAGCGGAGAAAGGTACGCAAAATAAACGGTTCTACGTGACCACTTGGCGGAATCCCTTTACATTAGACGCGATCACAGAGCTGTTTGTGGGTAGCTAAAGAGTGGCTGAACGGTAGCTTGCATTTGGTTTAACGTTTTCAAAGTGCCTGGCTTACTTTTGAATTTCAGATGTAAGTGCAATTTTGTATAAAAGACCATCTCCATCTCCAAAACAATTCAGTGTGCGACTTGCATTTACTTAACCAGCAAGCTAAGCTTAAACGTAAAACAAGCTTAAAATTTTAAAATTCTTATCAAAGCAAATTTGCAAGAATTAAGCAGCTCGTAAACGGTTTC